AAGAAATCCATTGTCGGTAACTAAGCGTGCAGAATTCACATTCAGCTCAGGAAGCTCTTTATCAAAAAATAACATTCTGGGGAAATACCATCTATACTTGGCCTTTGGTCCATACTAAGAGCCCACTTTCAGGTACAAAATACAGAACTAGAAGTGGCATTGGTTTGACCCACAAAGGCTGCTTTTATGTTCATATAGTCTATATTTTTATTCCGACCAAGTCTTTTAATGAATTTTAGCTAGCTGACAACCCCTTCCTTACCCATGGGCATTATATGCACTTCCCTTCTCGGCTATGCCCCTCGGGTGGTGTTTTTTGTGGGGGGGGGGTGGGGGTGAGATCAAAGGAAACATCTCCTGATGTTTTTTCTTTACTTTTTTAATTACTACATTAAATGTATCACTTTGCTTGTTTAATAGTGTAGATGACAGCTTAGGACTTACTGTCTGCATGATAGTTGTTGTTCACAAATGATGACCTGGTCTAGCCAGTCCTGTTGGAACAACTTCCCGGAACAATAATACAGAAATTCAGAGAGCAGTAGCATATGTGGATCACAGAACAGTTGGCATAAGGAAATTTTTGATTCATCTGATTAAGTCATGTTTTTTCTAGAGTCATAATGCTACTGTTCAGACCGATTTTTACTTTGATTTTAGTACCTTTTTGTTCCACTTTTCATTACCATCATCTTAAAAAGATTTTAAACCCACCCTGCAAAGGTTTCCCTGAGACCATATTCTTTAGAGAAATAAGCCACAATACTGGAAATAGGGAGGTTTTTGAATTCTCATTTCAGCTTTGTGACTGATTCACATGACTTTGAACAAATCATGTAAATATCTGTGCTGTCTCTAAATTGAAGATAACAGCAGCCTTATAGGAATGCTTTTAAAGTATGTAAAATTCTATGAAGACTTAAATGATGATTTATTAGTGTTTTTGAAATGCTGCTTTAGGGATGGAAAAACCATGCTTATGAGTCTTGGGTGCATAGAACTAGTTATGTTTTGTGGTTGGCTCGAAGTGCTCTCTCATACGAATCAGAATACGTGGGATGGAAGTGTAGTCTATGTGCAGATGGGGTTTATGCTTTCTGCATATTCCTCATGGTGCTTCATGAAGAACAAACGTCTGCTTTCACCTAGCTCTACAAGAATGCCTGTTTAGGACTCGTGCCGAGCTCAATAGGGACGACATTGTTTATTTTATACGCATAACAGTTGTACTTTGAGCCCTACCAAGGAGCAGCTGGCCCCCTCTGACCTACCTGCCTGGCAGGTGATGCTGTGGCGTGGCCTGGGGTGCGGTCCCCCTAAATGTGGCTGTGAGAATGCTCTGAGTTACTTGTCTGCAGGAACCGCAGTGCAGCCAGGAGGAAGAAGGTGATGCATGCCTAGGTATTGTTCAGACATACATTTGAGATGTTGCCAAATTGTGCAGTGAAATCTGAGATCTGAGAAGCTCTGTATTTTTACAGGTGAGACATGCACTACAGAGAGATGTAAATAACAGATGATTCAAACAGTCCTTGCCCTAAAGAGCTTCTGAGCATTGCAAGTTGAATGGAAACAAGGCATTGCTCTGAGATAGGCAAAAGTTATTTCCTTTTATTACATGGTTCTAGCAATTTTTTTCCTTAGAGATATTTTCTGTGGAAGCCTAAAGTCAGTGAACTTGTGTAGCAAAATGTGTTTTTTTCAGTTTCTAGTAATGTAGTCACACATATTTATAGCATTATCATCTAAGAATCCCAAGTAGCAATTACTAATTACACAGAGGGGAAAGATACTCCTCATTTTATTGAGGAAATGGAGCCATGATGAATTAAAGGGACTTTCCCTGAATCACAAGAAACTTAATGTGGAGCTAGAAATTGAGCCCAGACCTCCTGACATTCGGTTCACTGTTTCAGTCATATGACCATCTTTTTCCAAGTATAAAATATGTACACAAGACTCTCCAGTTTAGTCTTCACATTAGTTTCCAATGCTGCAATTCAGTTCCTCTGAACTTTGCCCTTTCACTCGTTTTAGCAAAAAGGCAAACATTTGCCCATTTGTCTCACTAGTAAGTAGAAACTGCTTTCTATACAGATGACGATTTCCTCTCCATTCACGTGCTTCTCATCCTAGTATTAGAAGGCCAGCCTGTATCAGCAAGGGCCTGTTTAAATTAGAAACCAAATAATGTTTCAGGGATGCCTTGGGCTGTCTTGTGGAGAGGGTTCTTCTCAACCCTTGCCAGTTACTACTTGGTGGTCCTGCCAATCCTTGCTGAGTTTCAAAACAAAAGTTGCTCAAGCTCGAACAGCGCTTAGTCCAGCATACGCAGCTGGACAGCTGGTGAGCTGGGACAAAGCAAGGCCCAATGCTTAACCAGGCACAATTCACCAGAGCATGTAAAGGGACAGGGGAGTGGCACTGTCCTAATTGTTAACATTCCTCCTCTGCAAGACTCCTGATATTTATTTAATAAGCCCAGGCTCATGAAGTCTAAACGATTTAAGCAATCAAGTCGTAGCTGATGTGTATATGGAGATGACATGCAGCCAGACTAAGTGAAGGGTGAAATGCATAATTTCTGACTTCGCAAGGCTTTATCTGGCAATTGCAGATGAAATAATACCTCAGGCGGCTGTGCCCAAGAGTGGAATATACATTGCGAGTACTTCAGGAGCTGTACTTCAGGCCAAGTTTGCACAGCCACAGCTCCTATTTAAGTGTGCGTGACCAGCGTGCTGGCGTGGTCTTTTCAGCCAGTGCAGAGAAGTTTCTGTTGCTGCCAGTGAGTAATATTAATGAACTCCAGTCTGATGTCTCCTGCCAGTGGCTACAAAAATCAGGGATGTGGTATTGCTCTGTTCTCAGAGGGGTGAAAGGCAGGTTCAGCAGAACTGGCTGAAACATGCCGGCATTTCCACATCTCAGCAACAGATGTTTGTAAATAGGCGTGCCTTCACATGTAGAAAGGGGTGAGCATCTAGAGACTGCTGTGTGTGGAGGTTTGTTCGTTCTTTTCTGTGGAGCTGTTGCTGGGTATTTTAGTGTTAAATGGGAAAAAAAGCAGCATCATTACATTCATTAGCATTTCATTCAGAATTATTTCCAACTTGTAGTGGAGCAGGGACACGTGGTGACTGGGTGTTAAACTTTCATTGATGGGATGGAGAGATCTAAGGTTCAAACTGGAAATGGGACTGCTTGGAGCAGACGTGGGACAACGGAGGAAAAACGAATTTTGATGAACCTGATCTTCAGCAAAAGTCAGGGAGTGAGAGATGGCTTTTGTTAAAAAGAAAGAACACCAAAATGTGTGATGTTCCTATACTTTCTCAAGAAAAATAAAAGAAGCATTATCTCTATTTCAGCTCATCTTTAAAATACACAAAGGAAAGGCAGTGCAGAAAAGGAGAGTATTTTTGCTGATTGTATTTTCTGCGTTCTCTCATTAATGATCTTTTTCTTGTGAGTGGTCATTTACCATGTTTGATTCAAAGAGATCCAGTCTGCATAGTTTTAGAGTAACTTTGTTAATGTTCTTTTGAGAACTTCTGCTTATCAGCCTAAGGCTTATTGGCCATAACTGCATTGTAAGCTGAGTAAATTGGTTGTTAGTGCATTTGCAAACAGTTCAGCCTGATTCCATTGATCTAAGCACCAATTTTACAACTTTGTCTGTGGTGCCATTACAGAAATGGAGCGAGCGAGCAAGCAGGCACCCTGCACATACCTCTCTCTTAGGATGGTGATTTACTGCCCCTATCTGCTGCCTTTTACAGCTGTGTGCTGGCTAATGTCGCGGCCTTGCTGGTGAGCTTGTTTCAGTCCTGTGATGCTACATCCTTAGCGTGGAATCTGAATCTGACTTTGCCACCAGACTGAAAAACGGACTGCGGCTTTTCTAAAGTTCTTTTCCCATCTTCCCCGTGGTTACCTTGTGCTTAGAAAAACAAACTGGTAGGGGTCATAATATGGGGACACAGATGCTTTCCTTTTGACCAGTCCATGTTCTTCAGCCATTCTCCAAGGCTTCTCTTGTGTTTTGTTTTGACTTGGCCTGATGGCTGAAAGCTTTACTGTAAATTATTTTTGACAGTTATGATAGTGATAGTCCACCCTCCCACAGTATCCTCTGACCTGCAGGTATCAGAATGCGCAAAGATATGCCTAAAATGTCACAAAAGAATGCAAATCACATATAGTTACAAATTAGTTCAGATAAACAATGTAAGCAGGGTACAATGTCTCAAGGAGAAATGACAAGCACCACTGATTAGAATGTTTACAGTGAGAAGGGGTTTCTGAGTTAGGCTCAATACATAATTTCTGATTATGGAGTCAGTTCATTAAAATAGTATAAAGTAACAACTTGCCATTTTTCTGTAAGCTACCAAGATGCATATAGAGGTGGATTGAACTAATAAATTAACAAAATATTGGCTGTTGGGATGGAGGAGTGTGAGGTGAATGAGGAAGGTGGGAGGAGGACAGCTACAAGAGTTAAGAGTCTAAACAAGGATACCCTGAAAAGTTTCTGGCTGTGGTGGGTCCAGTGGAGGCTGAGTAGTTGATTCTATTTTGCTTCATAACAAAAGGAAAAAGGGGCCATGTGGCATCCTGGTTGATACCAGCTCACACTACTTGGTGTGCGAGAGGCAATGGTTTCAGAGCTCTATCATTATCTCCTTTGTTTTCTTGGTAGTTCATACGTAAGCAGTATAAAAGTATCATAGAATAGTTTGGGTTGGAAGGGACCTCTAAAGGCCATCTAGTCCAACCCCCCTGCCGTGGGCAGGGACATCTTCAACTACATCAGGTTGCTCAGAGCCCCGTCCAACCTGACCTGGAATGTTTCCAGGGACGGGGCATCCACCACCTCTCTGGGCAACCTGTGCCAGTGTCTCACCACCCTCAGCGTAAAAAATGTCTTCCTTATATCTAGTCTGAATATCATCTTTAACCTTGGCTGAAGGTTCACGTGTTAATGTTTTTTTCAGGTGGAACTTGCAGAAATATGCACAAAGAGCGAACGTTATATTGGCACAGAAGGTGGAGGAATGGACCAGTCAATCTCTTTCCTGGCAGAAGAAGGAACTGTATGTGGATCTTTGTAATCTAAACTAACAATGTAATATTAATTTATGTAAACAAAAAATATCTTCACGTGCATCTAGCAGAAAGACAAGAAACTGGAATACCTTAGTAAGCAGTATAAGCACCACTGGTATGCAAATGTAACAGGAATTATATGTATAAAATTGTGTGCAATCGAGTATGACAAGTTTAAAGGAATAAGATGATGAAAATGAAAAATGGCAAGAAGGAGGAAAGAAAAGATGTGGGGAAAGACATACTCTAGAACTAGAGCACCAGGTTCCACACTATTTGGCTAATTCATCACTGAACTTCGAATGTTTCCCATATAATGAAATCTGAATGGTCGGTATGACTTGTATTCAGTGCAAATGGGATAATTATTACAAAAATGCTTTCTTGAAACTTCTTATAACCAAACAGTTCTAGGAAGTTTTGCCAGGTCCAGTTACAAAGACAATGGAGATTTTTTTTTTTCCCCAGTTTTGCTAATTCCAGACAATTCTGTGGCTGGATTCTGATGTAGAAGGCATTTAGCTGTCTTAAACGTGGTGACAGAAGGTGGACTAGCACTGATATACAGGACCTGCCAAGTTATGCATGAGTGCTTGCAGTGGAATTTACCATGGAGTTCATCTACTGTCCCAGAAGGTGCACAGGACTGCAAATGTTCAAACCCAAAACCTGTCAAAATACTTTTATTGAAATTAATGTAGCGTTTCGTGACAACCTTTACTTTGCTTATAATTGTGATATTATATCTCTACAGCTGTTGTTCCTTAATGCCGTATCTTGGATAAGCTTATAGAGAAAATAAGCTGTTTCCTAGAATGACACCAAACATTTAATTCCATCATGAGACACATGTATTTTCAATTTCACATCACCTGTACCTATTCTACAATTTTCCTTCACACTTACACTATTAGTAGTAAAGGTACAGCTACATGAATGCTGAAGGAAGCAGCATATTTTCCTGGCCTACACACAGATGATCATATAAGTGGAGGCTTTTCTGACATATAGAGATGGTGATCAAAAAGGCAAAGAAAATGTTAGAAAAGATTAGAAAAGAAATTGTAAACAAACCAGAAAATATCCTTGCTTCAGTGTACTTGCAGCTGAATGCAGTTCTGGTCTCCCATCTCAAAAAAAAATACACTAGAACGAGAAAAGTACAGTAATGGATGCTGAGGTTGATCAAAGCTATTTGTTTATATAAGCATTGACTGAATAATGTAAAACTCTTTAGCTTGGAAAACAAGTATCTTTGAGGGTAATATTTTGAAGCCCTGTAAAACCCCTGAATGGGTAAGAGAAGGTAAATCGAGAATTCAATATTTTTTATAACCGAAGAACTAATAGAAGCACAATGACATTAGCAAGCAGCTTGTTTGGGTTTTTTTTTCCAAAACATTCATTGTTAAATTGAGAAATACTGTGCATTGTGGAAGGCAGAAGTTTAAAAAGGGTTCAAAAAAGACCTTCTTGGATACATTGATAGAGTATTAGCCTATTTGTAGCTATTAAACGTAATTGTCTGACGTGTCTTCCAGTGTAAGTATAACCACCGTAATCTTTGCTTATGGGAAGCTAGAAAAATATACCCCCAAAAAGATTGCTTTGTATATGTCCTATTTTTATATTCCCTCTAAATACCCATTTATGGCTACTGTCAGAAACGGGACACTGGACCAGCTTAGTGGTACGTTCTGACCTAATGTAGCAGTTCTTAAAGGGTCTGTTTAAATGTAAGCAAGCTTGTCTGTCTTGATAGTAATTTTGTGACGTGGTCTGGAATCTCAATGGCAGGGAGTAACACACATGCTGTACATAATGTACAAGCAGATTTGTCATTGTTTATTTAGCACTCTAGCTGCTCAAGGAACTCTCTGGGGGTGAACAATGCCAAAACCAGTAAGACGTCCCTGCTTGCAGAGTTACGGTCTATTCTAAGAAGCCAAAGCAGGGCACATGATTTACAACTTATCCCAATGAAAAACCAGATGTGAATTTAATCTTTTGATTACATTACATCCTGAATTATTTAATTAATGGATGCCTAGCTTATTCCATGAAAAGGTCACAAAATGTTGGGAACATCTGACACAGGCCGTGTAAGGCATCTGTGAGGCAAGACAGTCTCTTATGTCAGAAGGAAGGACACAGTAACTACATTTTCATATATAGTTTTATTTCATTTCTCTGTTTGATTGTCTGTATGTAACAGGATCGCTGTCTCCAGTCAGTCCTAAGATTTTGGTACTATTCTGTACCTCAGTGAACTAATCTTGATTTAGTGGAAAATCAGAAAACTAAGGGGGAGATGGGTATTGGGGAAGGGGAAGGGAATGTGAAGCCCCTTGTTTCTAGTGGCATGCACATTAGCTTCAGCCAGGCCTGGTACTTTTCTGTAGATCAAAGAAAAACTGTTGTCTTAAACAGGCAAGAAAAATAGGTTGGGTGGGGTTCTGTGAAATGCTGAAAAAACCCAAAGACTTAATGGAAACATTTTAAAATCCAGCTACAAGGGAAAGGTTTGAAATGTATGTGTAACTTGGCCAATGAGGTTAAACCTCTTTTCTCACTGTTTCATGTCAGTTTTCTTTCCTTAACTGTCCCTGGATTTTCAAGAGAAAAAACATGCAAATTTGCATTTGATTTATAGAACTAAGTGCACTGTTTGCTAGTAGTAAATTAAAACTAACCATTCATTTTTCTTTCAATAGGCCAAGTTGATAGAGTTCAGTCCTCTGAGGGCAACTGATGTTAGACTTCCAAGTGGAGCGGCGTTTGTTATTGCTAACAGTTGTGTTGAACTGAATAAAGCAGCAACTTCTCATTACAATATTAGGGTAATGGAGTGTCGTCTGGCTACAAAGGTAATGTATGGCTTATGTCAAACTCTAATGAAACCTTCATCTAAATATGTGCTTTTTTCCACTTCTGACCAATCGTGTCTGTAACACCTGGCTAGGTGCTACTTTAAGTAGCATTTTTCTTTCCAGAACCAGACACCTCCATCTCTGCAGAAACAGAACTCCTGCCGAGTTTAATGGAAGTGCAAGGACTGTGCCCTTATATAGAAGATTATGTGATTTAGTTCTATTCAATTTATTTTGTATTATATTTCAATGGAGGAAATAAGTTTATTTTTCAGCAAAAAATATTCTCAGTTAATAAGATAGACTGTTTCTAATTAAAGCTGAATAATGACAAATAATGGAAAGCAACCAGTGTGGTCACATGTTTATATGTATATATGGCAATAGATGTGTATTTTCTAGGATTTAGAGGACATCAAAGCTACTAGTTGGAGGCCTGGAAGTAATATTGGAAATGCTGAATAGCAGCATGTATGTCAGTGTGAAGTTTAAAAACAGGCTTGAATCAAACCCCAACATTTAGGATATGCTGCCAGTTTACAGCTTGCAGTTATCTCTAAAATGTATGGAATTTGAACATGAAAAAAATCTAAGTTCCATTTTAATTCTGAATTTTGTAGACCATATGTTTAGGAGTATGTAGATGTAGGGTTTGATTTGAGTTTATTATAGGAATACAGTGGATTTTTCTTTGATTAGATTAAGTGAGAAGTAAGCATAAAGATTCACTGCAATTATACCCAACATAGCATGCTGTGTGAAAGAACAGAATTTGGGTCACAAAGTCTAGATGAAATTTTTAAAAACTGCAGTGTGGAACCCCTTGCCACAAAACATTTGGCCAAAATCTGAGCAATACTCAAAAGTATTTTGAGCATCTGTTGGCATCATGATTCTATGAAAAATTATCATAGTTAATGCTAAAAAGAAAAAAAAAAAAAGAGGCTGAAAGAGATGATCAGATACTGACAAAATGTAATATGAAATACTGTGTTGAGATTTTTCGAGGAGGGAAGCTAAACTTCAGATGACTTTTTAAATGGGCTTTAAACTCAAGTATAAAGAACATAGCTGCATTTTAGGTGTATATAAGATACGGTAAAAATACGAGCACCAATGACCATAGTTAAAGCTGTTGTCACTGAAGTTAACAAAAAGATTCTTATGCCATTAAGAAAATCAAGATAAGGACCTCTCAGTGTATTGGTCCTGGTATAACTGATAAACCTCTAATTTAGGATAGTTAATTGACTAAGTATGTATTTTAGGAAGAGCTTCTTCTGGAAATTTTTTTGCATAAGAAACAGAGAGCCTTCATAGATGATCTATTCTAAAAGGCACACTACAACCATGAGTGCATTAAGTTGTAAGACCTTTTGAAGTATTGTTCCATATACCAGATTTTGTGAATTGAATCACAGTTTTCTAAATTGCTTTAAATTATTGGTCCTGTGCAGTAAACTGAAAAGGTGGTAGAGAAAGACGATTTTTTTTTTTTACATTCCTGTTAGCTATGATGCAATCTCCAAAAAGGTACCTTTAGCAGATACTTGATTTTAAGGAGACTAACGACACACACCTGTCTATTTTTAAACATATGCTGCCCAGATGGAAAGTTGCACACACTCTAAAAATACGTTGAGCCAGGAAAAGACTCTTTAGGAACAGGTCACAGTGGGGTGAAGGAGGGCAGGTATGTAAGTGGAAGCAGGGAAGTCTTTTAAGCACCATTAAGCTAATGGAACTATGAAATAACATGCTGGGCCTCGCAATAATGCTTTAAAAGAAATTCTCATTGGTAAATGCTTTAGGATAGGCTTTTTTTCCCCTTTCTGCTTTAGGTCATTCTAGAATTTCACACTGTTTGCAGAAAGCTCCATGTAAGTAAAGATGCCAACACAACATATCCCTGGTGGCATTAGTGTAGAACATTTTGATGTCAGTCTGTCATACAGCAAGTGAGCTCTTGATCATCCTCACAAAATTACCTTTCTCAGGTTCTGTTCCTTTCCCTTCCCTTCTGAACAGTCATTCTTTTGCTTGTTATTTTTTTTTCCTTGTCTATTCTTGTTGTAGCCTCTAAGCGCTTTCCTGTACTCCACTAAACAGTATGTTTAAAGACACTTATGTTCTGCAGAACACTCGCAATTCCAAAGGAAATTAACTTGTACTTTATACTTCAGAAAAGTTGCACGGTAGGTGCTGCAGGATGAATATGAGCATTAGTGAATGCTGTGCTCTCCCCTGCTTCACCGTGTGTGGTTCACTTCACTGTCAGCTATAGAGTGGTGCCAAGAATGTCTGCAACTGGAATGCCATATAGTTAATCAGCTAATGTTTGTCAAATGTGGAAAGATGCTCAGATGACATTATAGAAATGTAAAGTATAAAAAAAGTGATGTTGCTATATAAGGGCTGAGTATTCCTATACTTACTCCTAGTCAGACTTTCTTTTATTTGTATTTGTCCTGTCATTTACTAAGTATGTTTTCCTCTCAGTTACTTACAGTTCTCCAGTGTGCCTGTGTTGAACAATAAAGGACAATAAAGCCTACAGATGCTATATCCTGGCAGTTAAGAGCCAGCTGGATGATGTCCACATCTTTAGTCCATCTAGTCAGAGATCATCAAGAAAATATCTAACCGTGGAATCAGTACTGGGATTACTTTTGTACATTTAATAGATGGGATTTTTTCCCATTTCTGCTCTGTGTCCATTACAATTTGAGCTGCTGGAGCTAGATTATTTTCAAAAATCATTTCTGTTTGCCCATAACATTTTTCCCAGTGCTGTTAGAATTGAAACTTTGCTATAAGCAGTATAGACCTTTCCAACAAAGCCCTGCCCACTGGCCTGATGGGGTCAGTTTCCATTTGGAACATTTGACCTGTAAAACCCCAGCGTAGTTAGCTCATCTGAAATACAGCATCTCCCTTGAAGTATAGAAATGGGAACAGATGTGACAATACATGACATATTTCTACAGGGGATTATTTATTAAAAAATGAAGTAGAAAAATTTTTGTTACCTTATAGAACACTATTTTTTGTAAATTCTTAGTTCTGTTTAACTTCTGGTAATAAAATCTAGGGGATGCTGAACATTAGGATTAAAGTACAAGGAAAAAAATTTCCATTCATTTAGCACCTTGAAGCAGATTTAAGAACATGTCACAAACATGCACCAACGTAAGAGAGATTGAGTATTTAAGTAAAACAAATGAAGCAATAATTGTTATTCTAACTTATCAATAAGTAAGCTAAAATACAACTACATGAAGGCTGTGGAATTCTAGGTACTCAGAGCTTTTGAAAACCAGGCCAGAAGTGACTTAAACAGTGCTGTGGAATCTAGGTACTCAGAGCTTTTGAAAACCAGGCCAGAAGTGACTTAAACAGTCGTTTACAAGAAAATTTTCTCACCCTGATTTCTGCATTAACCACTAGACAGTGCTGCTTCTTTCTCTACCACTGAACATACAAAACTGTGTTTTAGATGGCGACAGAGTCATATGATTTGGATTTTGATTGGATTTTGTTTGTTCTGCTCTACTAAGCCTCACATAAATCTTAGCAAGTCACTAGATGGCACCAAAAGTAGTTAATTTTTATATACTGTAATAAAGCAAAACTGGAAAAGCCACTGCAAAAGTACTGTTCGAGGAGAGCAGGAAGGAGGATGAGAATCTATAGCAGATAGTTGGGCAGCAGATCTTCTGCTTAAATTTCATGCTGTAACTTTGCACAAAGCAAAGCAAATACTTTTCAGACATGTATGTAAATCCCATGATTTTTTTAACCCAGGAAGTTAAACGGCTTTGCTGAATTGAGACGTAAATGATTTCAAACCAGTCTCGCTCAAAACCAGTGTTTATTGAAAAGAACAGCAAAACACACTGGGTGAAATCTTGGCCCTGTTGATGAGAGGTTTTAACGCTGATTTGAATAGGAAAAGGATTTCATTCCCTGGTCTTGCTGCACTGGTTTGAACTCTCTGCAAACATGCAGCCTGATCTAGCATACTTGGAAGCTTTAATCTCAGCGTAAATGGTGCAGAATTGGAGGTATGTCGTGTGCTTATGAATACAATAAAATGACACTAGCACGTACCTGCTAATCTATGTCTTACTCTGTAGTAATCTGTTGAAATTAAAGGTGGTATGTCAGTAGGATCTCACAATGATCACTTAATATTCTGCTATAATTAATAACATAAAAAATATTCCACCTTATGAGGAAAGCTGCTTTACTCAACCATTTTCATTAGGCACACGAGAGCATCAACGCATGCTTCTCAGAGAAAAGCCTCTTTGACATGTTGCCTTTTAGGATTCTGGTGGTTGAAGTAACTACTGTCAATTGCCAAAAGATCACAAAGATACACAAAGCATGACATCATTGTCTGGAGTGGGAGAAACAGATAGATCTATAACTAATTAGCATCACAGCAATCATGTAGGAATGGAGCAGATTCTGACTAACACATCGTAATCTTCCCGTAAGGCTCAAAGCTTCCTTTAAATTGGATGTTAAAAGAACATACTTAAAATTTACTTTAAACTCTAGAGATTGAGAAAGGTTGCGGTTAATTCTCCCGCACAAATCTTATGCCTACTTTCGTATTTTTAAGGCTATTATGAGAAAGGGTGTTAATGACAACCTCAAATGTTCATCAGAAAACTCCAGGAGCATATTGGAAAGGGCAAACAGTTTTAAATGTTAGAGCAAATTCTAATAGTACAGAAATGGACTTCTTAGGGACTTTTAGTGTTACAGTATCGTAGCATTTGTATAAGCAGTTGTCCGAATGTGGTTGTAAACGGTTAATAAGTGCTTGAAGTAACAATATCCATGGAAAAGGATAAATCACTGATTTGATATCACACAAATTATGCCAGTAGGGCTTTTACAGACAATATCTGATTTGGGGGAAGAATATCCGTCATTCACAGACCTTTTATAAATAAATATAATGATTATCTGCCGTATACTGATAGAATGTAGCTTCTGATGGTTCCCAATTAAGAAGTGAAAGGAGCAAATGGGTCTTAAAGGTGCTTATGGACAATTAAATAGTTTTAAACAGGAAGGCACAATATTTTATGTTTTATTTTTTGAATCTTAGCTTCTCTCAAAGTCAAAAGGCTTGGACTGGAAAAAAATGTTGCGACTCCATGATGTGCAAACCAAGCTAGGAGTTGGCCTAGAGGAAATGCTGACCATTGTCGAGGAGGTATTACATCCTGAGCCTTACAGTACAGAGGAAATTTGTAAATGCCTGGGAATTAGCCTGGAGGAGCTCCGCTCTCAGATCCTTAGTCAAAACACGCAAGATGGTAAGCATACATGAAATAGCGTTTTTTAGCGTACAACATTTGTATTATATAAAAGTTTATATATTAACTAGTAGTGCAAGTGGAAGTCTTGCCAGAATACCTCCCCAGAGTCTTGGGTGGCAAGTGAGAGAATTGATACAATGATTTTCATTCTAACTTTTAACTTAAAATAGAGCAAAACTTTGATTTTGATTGAACTGTTTCTAAAATGGTAGAAGTAGCAGATCACTTACTATTCTAGATTAACCTGTGCTGTTTGAGAGTCATCTCTAAATAACCCAGGTTTTATTCTAGGGAAAAGTATAAACTAGGCTTCCTTTTTAGGCAATAGCTCTTACAAACCCAAACATTTTGGATGGTTACAGCATCATTAAAATGAATCTTGTTTGCTCTCCCTTAACTGGTGTTAAAGACCAGCATAGATGGAGCTTGCGTTTCTGTTTTTGAATTGATAAATACATGATCACTTCATAAAACATGCACTGGGCAGCAAGTCATCTAGGTCTCTCCTGAGAAGTTTCTGGCACAATCAATGTTATTTTTTCTTTTAGGAAAATGTTGGTGGAGGTGAACAATTTACTATTTAAAGTATTTGCTATGTATTATTGCTTATGATTATACCATGTAATCATGAGCACTGGCACACATGGAAAGGATCTATTACTGAGTAATAGAGCATTTATGAAATAATTAATTTGCATTCATAACAGGTTTCCAATTGAGATCAGAATCTTTCTTTAAGAACTTAAAATAATGCTTACTTCCTTGTTTCCATTCTGTGGCCTTAATACTTCTACTGTTTTGTAGATGAACTGTATCCTTACCATCCCTTCCCAAGGCTGCTTTCAGGGATGTATATATTTGATGTACAGAATCAGTAACATACCTATATATACTGATGCTTATATTTAAATAATCTGTATATCTGGAACAATCGTGAACTTTATATATTGACCAAGGACCAGATCCTGAATCTAGAACCTGTTTTGCACCCCAGTGGTATCAGAGAGTATGAAACTATCTTACTGTCTGATTACACTGCCAGAGGGTACCAGCATGGAATATGGTATCTTAATCCAGCTCTTTATCTCCATAGAAAGAGTCATAACAACTCTGTACTGTATGTACATTGGAAATATACTGAACCACGTACCTGCACTCTGCAACATTTTCATGGGAAAGTACAAGGTTGTAAATCCTTTACGCTGTCCCCTTACTTGCCCCTTCATGAAGCAATACAAGACTATTAACTTACAGCTGTTTATACGCCTTATACCTGGTTTATAAAACAAAATTCTACAGTTTTGTGGATTTGCAGTGTTTATACAGGTTATTTGAATTGAAGTGTTTATACAGGTTATTTTGATTTTTTTTCAAAAACTAAAGTCTGGATAAAAAATTTAAACATGAAAGCTATAGAAAAAACTCAAAGGAAATTTTATACTGTGGCTCTGAATAGCGTTTGCAGATGTTTGCTGAACAGAATCTTTTAAACTTGCATGACCATGATTTCATTTGATAAGGCCAACTAAAATGGGTTATGCTGAAAGCCTGTTTGCATGTACAATATAAAATTAAATAACAGATTTCTGTAAAACTATGTGCAAAGAAGAAACAAGACAGACACAGAAAGAAGGACTCTAAATCCACTGTTTGTTCTTGTTACACACTAAACAAATTACATTTTATGTTGGCTTTGGAAAACCAGAGGCTGTTTGACAAAAATACTTTTCTTATTTCCCCTCTACTTTCCCACTATATTTTAATGACAATGCCTGGCTTCTTCATGTGAGAGAAAACATATCGACAAATAAGTAATCTCTGCAGAGAATTTCAGAATGTTGTTGAACTTTTTTGTTCAATGTCAAGAAGGAACCATAACATTTAGGGTATCTTTCTTCCTTTGTACACATTTTATCAACTGTTCTGATAAAGTATTACAATGTTAAGGGTAAATTATTTGCACGAGAATTACTATTTAGATCATTTACTGGATTCTGAGTTTTCTCTGTGGCTGAATAGAAATTGTCAGTAGTTTTAATTTTTTGTATTATTCAAAGCCCAGTGATAGTTACAAATAATATTTTGTACGGGCATTGTATCTCATGTTTAAGGATCTGAAAGTGCTATGTAAATACTATTTTAGTCTTAAGTCTAGCTTCCCCTCCTCTACTCCTCCAGTGATGGTTCTGTATACTTATGTAAAATTTTATAAGTGTATAAGGCTGATCAGATAAAAACTCCACATCCCGAAGAGAAATGGTATGGACAGGCTTTGGGCAAGTCCCAGGCCAGGTCTGGAAGCACACAGCAACTTTGCATCCCTTTTACAGGCAGGTACTCAAGGATTTCTGCAGTTCCCCACCGTACAGCCCACTTGTTCCCCAGGTTTGGAGAAGTACAGATGGTGCATAAAGCCTCTCTAAACTTCCTTCAGTTGTTCCTTGGCCAACCCAAAATCCCGAGTTTAAATCCCCCTTGCAAATGTTTATACATGGATTGCACTTGTGGCTTCTGAACATCTCTAGAAAAAAAATAATATTTATTACTTTCTAAGGTGCACTATGCCATAATTTTGGCTTGGACTTGAGTGCTTCACAGAACATCTAGTGTGTGGTGATTGTGGGACATTAAGTATTTATAAGCTTCACCACAAAAGGATATTCTCCTGTAAAACAGTGTGTTCCTTTAAACATGAAATGTTTTTTTCCTTCTTAAATGAAGTATTTTTAAACCCGTTTTTCCTTTTCATGTATAAAATTGTAATCTAATTTTGACATTTAAACCTGGGAATGAAATTGCCATGGGAGGAGCAGGCATCCATTTGCTGTGTGGATTTGGCCGTTTAACTGCCTTCCTATTTGTCCCCTGGAAAGAGAATTCTAAATCTGTGCTGTAGCTTCAGTGAGTGGTGCTTGAATAGCCTTTCATTCTCACTGCCAAGTAATTTGTATTAATGGTGATCTCAGTGCAAGAACACTTTCAACTTTATTTGCACAGACAGGCGTACGTGAAGGTGGACTCTCGGATGTTCTGTCGGGCTGCTCTGGGATATATAAAGCTTTGTCGTGTGCATTAGTAGAGTGCACTTGTCTTACAAGAACAGACATTACCTCCAAACTGGTAGACCTGAGAGTGCTTCCCAGCTTGAGGGTCCCGGTGCCTACTCCAGCCTCAGCCTGATCCATGTCATGGAGAAATTTGGGAACATACCACCAAAAAACATTCCACAAAAACATGGTTTACTTGGGATGACGGAGAAATTTGGGAACATACCACCTCCTTCCACAAAAACATGGTTTACTTGGGATGAGCCCCAGAAAGATGGCTGCTCCAGGCAGATCCCATACAGCTACCTGGAGAATGCAAGCCTTTGGGGCGTGCCACAAGTTAGGCACAGGCACTGAATGGTCTAGGTTAGCTGCAAAAGCCTTGTTAAAGCTAGCATTCCTCTGGAGGAGAAATCACTTTAAACCAGTAGTTATCATAATCTCGAAGCAGGTGTCTGCTAAATGGGTCACTGAATCCAGCAATGACTCGTCCCCTGGTTTATTTTCAGAAAGCCAGATTGCAAACAGTTACTTGAGCAGTCTCAGTAGAGTAACTGTTCCCCATTTTGAGTAGGGGGTTCACAATCTGGCTCAAATTAAAGCCATCTGGCAGCATTTTCTTATATACGTTATGAGCCAGAAACCTTCACCCTCATCATGTTCAATCAGCAGGATGCCTAACAGAGAAGGGTACTATTCCACATGAGTAATGGTGGTAGAAACTGTCCCCTACATGATTTTGCATCGGTGAGTTTTTCCTGTTGTAAATTTCTAACAGTCCCATCAGCCATGTGTAGCTCATTAATCTACAGTGAAACATACCTTAAGAAGCTGCCAAAGCAACTAGAAAAAAATATATAGCCTAAAGAGGTTGGTCTTTAGCTAAAGGTCAGATAGAATTGTACAGGAAGCCTCTAAAGAAAGGAATCTGCTGAAGTTGAAGTTGTAACAAATAATATGAGTTGCTGAGAAGCCACAACATTTAATTATAAAGAAAAAAAATCCCTGTAAATGGAATGGACAGGTTTGCACAAGTTTTGCAAAGTTAAAATTAAAAATATGACCATACAGTTGAAAACCCACAGTAAACTTCTCTGTTATATTTAATTAACCCAATTGTTTGGGACTAATAGTCCAGGATTTTTGTTTGTTTTTAAGAGATTTTATATGGCATTTGGACAAACTTTCATTAACGTTAGTCTGCTGCGTCTTAACAACTTGGAAGGTTCTTGCTGCAGTGCGAGCTATTAATGCACTGGAAAATGTCACCATTTCTTTCAAGGGCATTTGGTGGTTTGTAAGTGAGTTGAATCTACCTGTTCATGGATGACATGACAGAAATCCTCTGCAGAGGAGCAAAGCTAGGGTGCAAAGAATCCACCAAGGGTCAGCAAGAGTTGCTGACATTCTCTGAAAAACAGATAAGGACTGGTAATACAAAACAGTTAACAGTGGAGGAGATTGCTTGCAGAAGATTCACTGTGTCCTCTTTGAAACTTCAGAAACACAGTTAATGAGGCTATGACCTGGAAGGTGGATTTAGCTGCTCCAATAGCAGGCTGAATACAGGTGAAATGTGTTAAAAACCTAGTGACAAGATGTCACTAAGAGCAGACCGGGGTATAGGATTCCTTGTCCTCCTTAAAGTTTTCTTTTGTCTCATTTTGACTTTTCAGGTTTACTTTAATTTCTTCTGATCTGTATCTGTTTCAATCCATAAAAGGTATTGCTCACCCTTACTTGAGTCCACAAGAAACTTTTTCTGTGTGCAGCTGATACCATCCAAAATAAATCACAACCTCCATACCGTCTTTTCAGACAGGGACAAAAGAGACCCTGAGATTCTGATTGTGCGAGTGTGTCTAGGTCTAAAATCAAAGAGTTCATTCCTGCATGGCAGTGAGCTACGCACAACATGGCAGAGAGGAAATGTGTAGTGAATTTCAAAGAACAGTTTTTGAGAGCATGATTCTGGTCAGAGACTAGATCCTCAGCCAATACAGGTCTCCATCAGTCCGAATGGCGCTGTGTCATTTTAAACAAGCAGAGCACCCAAACTGGATATTGCACAGATCCCCTTATGGAAGAAACATTACTGTAGACATGCCCTAGACAATTGCTCTTACTTCAGCGTGGCAGCCAGCTAGTTTCAATGCATCAGAGGTTTTAGGTTCCTCTCGAGTCATCAGAGAAACGGGTATCACAGGGCAATCCGGGTCTCGGGTGGGATAAACGGTTCCCTAACCTGCCCTTTTCACTGACAGAAGATGGAGCTGAGGGTACCCGTACCCTTAATTTGGAAATAAATTTAAGTGGGAGAAACCAGGCTTTTATAGTTTACTGGATTAGGAAAGTATATTTACATTTTCAGTCAGATTAAGTACCTAATTTCCATACACTATAATAGATTTAAGGATCCGCATGCTTTTAAGAATCTGGCATTAGTTCCCTAAACCCTGCTTTTTTCTCTCCTTTGAGCACCACAGAGGATGAGACCATATAACCCAGTCCTGTGCGGCATTGGAAGGTTTACTTCGAGGGCTTCAGTCTTTCCTCTTTCAGAGCACTCCGGCCCTAGCTCACATATAAACTAATCAGTCATGCACACTTTGGTTTTGTTTCTTTTAACCGTAACAGAGTATGGCTTAGAAAATCAGTCCTTTTTAATTGTAAAAAATGTGGCCACATGAAGCACGCAGATTCTGATCAGTTCCTGCGCTCTCCTAAAATCAGAGCCTCCATAGCTCTTTGGCATGTCCTAGTAATTCACATTTTATTTATGTGGAGCTAATATACAGGCTGTGATGTAGCAAGGAGATTCCAATATAGATGTAATTTTTGGAAATATCACGTGTGCTCTGCTATCTTTCATTATATAGAGATGGTTAGTTGGACTACCCATCCAAACAGAAGAGATACAAGACGGTTTCCCTATTACAAGAGGCATTTGATGTCGAAAGCCAAAAATACGTGAATCATTTCATTATTTTAGAATAGGACTTAAAGAGTACAGAGGCGTTTGCTGTCCTGAAGATAATTTTACCTGAACAGTACGCTGCCAGAGAGGAAAAGCAAACTGTAAAAAAAATTTTTAAACACAAAGGTAGTTTTCTGAAATAAAACACTGCCCATAACCAACTGATAGCTAACATAATGGTACCAGCCTTTAACCGATACTAATTCAGTAAGTGTCCATAAAGGAGTCTGAAAATAACGTACAGCCGCTCTTTCTCACTTGAGAACTGCCTGAAAGGATTGCTTTCGCATCGAGAGAAAGCCAGTGTCAAGGTAGCAAATTCTCCCCTTACACTGAGTGACTCTCCTGGGAGGGAATGCTGTCAAGGACACAGCTCAGATCTTTTGGCTGGCAGCCAGCAGCCGGAGCGCCCATTCTGGGTGCCAATTCATAACATGACGAGCACAACACAACCCCAGAGATTTTTAAGGTAATCTGGCCAGTAGAGCATTGCTCTACCAAAGGGTGGTCTCCGAATCAATCACAGCCTTTGGCAAGTCTGTTGCCTTACAATTGAAACCAGACGTGTTTTCAGTTCATTCTTTGGGTTACTACTGTTCAATGGTGATTTACAAGAGAGTGTGAGCTATGGCAATCTCTCACGCAACTTTAGATATTCCCTAAATGAATGCACATTTAGAAATCTCCTTGCTCTAAAACAATGGTTTATAAGAAAAGAATATTTAAAGAGAAACCATCCTTAAAAACAGGCCAAGCTGCCTTTCTTCAACATTCAAATATACTGAAGCATCGCGCTGCAAAACACAGTGCAAGTAACTCCGGCAGCAACAAAATCCAGTGGGGTAAAACACACCTCTAAATGGGAAACCAAAACATGCTCTTCCTGTGTGATACTCTCAAGATTATGTTTCTGGGGGGCACTCATTTTTCTCATTTCTGTCCTAGTTTGAAATGCATTCAGAAGGCCTGTTCAAGAGACAGCAACACAGGGTTTCTCAGTAGCAGGCTGTATTGAATTACAAAATAAATATCACCAGAAGCAGTATCACCAGTAGCAGAATGCTGCTATGTTCACTGTTTCTCTATCATTTTAGACTACTTGTCTCTCTCTCAGCACTGTATTTTCAGCATTTACAGTTGTGATTTACGCTTAGTCTGGAGAAATAAAAAGGGATTATACAGATGCTGATGAAGTTTTAGTCTGTAAAGGTTGCAATCTAGAGTACACATATGAGAGACTTAATACTGGACACAATTTTATTTCCAGTCTTTCAAGGAAGATTTCTGCATATACTTGCAAGCGTAGATTGCTGAAATCATCAGAAGTGGTTCCAGAGCTTGGCTGTCTTCACGGAACAGCCAAGTAGGAACTCCATGTGTCTGGGTCAGATAGCGTGTTCTGTTTTGAATACAGGGCTTGTCTCTCTTCTCCTTTTACCTCTATTTGAGTGTTTCATCAGCCATTTTAGAAAGCAAGAGAGACCAGAAGCTGAAATGAGGGGAGAGACCTTGCTTTAAAGGAGAATTTCCACGTAGAAAGAAAATGAGGGATGTTCTGAGGTGCTCTTAACAAGAGCGTGCTTGAGTTGTGATGAAATAAGGAAAAATACTGCAGTAGGTGCTCCACATAGAGAATAAAGTCCACTTATCTAATATTTACCACCCAAACAGCTCAAGTAAACCAATTTAATCATAAATTATGTCATGCATGCTTCTGGTGAACAATACTTCCTCAATAGCAGCCATGGTATTAAAGCAAACAGAACTATATTGGGAGAGAAAAACAATGAACTACAACACGAGCTTGGGAAAAGCAGATCAATTCTTGGATATTAGTTGCAAACCAGACCCTCCTGTAAATAGGAGTAGCTTGAGGAGCCTTTAACCACAGCCATCCCCTTCCTTTTTATGCCCCATTGTTCAGGCTTGGTGGAGGTCTGTACCCCAACGGCCACGCAGGTTTAGGCACACCCCCCACCCTTCCCAGAGGAACTGCTTTTTCATGGCACAATAGAAAAATTTTAGCCAAAATCCTTGCATTAGCCTTTGATCTTAGTAGGTCAACACTAAGCAGTACCTGTCTGGGCTTGACATCTCTTCACGTCCACACAGGCAGCACTGACACTCTGGCTGGTAACACACACCAAAAATAAACCCTGAAAACCAAACTCAAAGCACCTGTGCTCTTCACTGTGCCTTTAATCTGGCATTATTTACAGTCAGGGTGAGCCTGCATCAGTGAAAATATTTGAGAGGGCTTCCTTACCTACACACCAGGAAATATGGATAACAGCATTTTTGTTAACCTCAGTTTCAAAAAAAAAAAAAAAAAAAGCGGTTGGTGGTTTTTTGTGGTTTGGTGGTGGATTTTTGGTGGTTTTTTTTTTTTTTTTTTTTTCAAGAAAAGGTCCATCCGCACAGTTACCTAATTGATGCAGATTTGGCCCGGAGCAGTCACACGCAACGCCTTGGACCAGCAGGTGCTGGCCGACGGCTGCCTGCAGGGCTCTGGGTACCTTTTCTGGTGTTCTCATGACTCAGTTTTGCTGGCGTTTGAAAACCTGAAAGCTTTACATTAATGCCCTAATGCATGTCACTGCTAACTCTTGAACGTGTGGCTTGCCTCTGCAAAGTAAAAGGAGAGACTGGGTCTGTTCAGTGACACAGCAAAGAACCAGAGCATGTGCATGAAGTTATCAACATGAAAAAAAAGTGTACGTTGTATTTTGATGAACTCTAAATACTATTTTATTAGAGCTTTTAAAGAAGATGTAGGTGAGCTTTTGCAGAAGACTTTTAGCCTAGCGTTCTAATATAAAATGCAAATTACTAAAAAAATAATTCTACTATGTTTTTGTATGTTCCTTTTGTAGTGAATATTAATGGATAACTGTAGTACTTAATATTTTCATTTTGTTTAGTTTCCACCTTTAAGTTATACCAGCGTGCAAAGCACGTGTATAGTGAAGCTGCCAGAGTGCTGGAATTTAAGAAGATATGCAACGAAGCACCTGCCGATGCAATCCAGCTGCTGGGAGAATTAATGAACCAGAGCTATATCAGCTGCAGGGAAATGTATGAATGCAGCTGTCCTGAACTGGATCGGCTGGTAGACATCTGCCTGTAAGTTTTGACCACAAGGAAGAGTAGTCGCCTGTTGAGAATATTGTTTGAATTGATGAGAAAATACGACATTGTTGGCTATTGCAATTTTAAAATGAAAGTATTCTTGTCTCTTATTACAAAATTAATCTCCTGCAGGGACATTACATGGTCAATTGTTTCCCTACTGACATCTGTGTAATACTTTCAGATGAAAGCTGCAGTTTATGGCTTTATTACAGACATTGCTTTTGGACTGACTCATCATCACAAGTGTTACGTTAGACTGTCGGCTATTCTTTTTTTAAGTTGTAGAAGAAGTCGTAACTGGTTTTCTTAAAATATCATCTTAGTTGTTCTGTTTGAACTCTGATACATTTTGTGTATTTCTTAACCATTTCAGAACTGCCGCCATGGGAACTCCGGGGCATAAGCAAGCTGTTTCAGATTCTTAGGTTGCATTGGAATCATAGTGGTATATTGTGAAATGTTACTGCATTTTTTCCAATTTAAAAAATATGTTGTCTAGGCTATCAGATAGGTTGGACAGTATCTCACTATTTAAAAGATGAGTGCGTTAACTGTTGTAATGGCTAATGCTCTCCTTCTGCTCTCTGCATTGTATGTCTGAGTTTTCCCCACATTACTCAGTCTCCATCGCTGCCTCAGCCTCATTCTTTTAGCTGGGTTCCCTAACTCAGTTTGGCCGCAATAGAACAAGCCTTCGCAACTCCAAAACACATTCCCTGAATGTCATTTTGTCCCTTCTCTTCTCCCTCTATTCCTCCCCAGTTTCATATCCTCTAGCCAGAATAAACCGTGTTTGAGAAATGGCATGAAGCAAGCTGGAAGTCACAGGTTGTTGTGTGTAGCAGGCTGTTATTTTTGTAACTCTGCTACAGTGGATGATGAGATCTGGTATAACCACGTGTTAATACAGAAAGTAAAAACGAATGCTTCGTACTCACATTCTACGTAGTATTTCATCCATACCACAGGACCAGCATGAAAGGATGTACACATTTCAGTTCCTCTTAATTTCCATTTTTCTGGTATGTTTAATCACGGGACAGACATCTTATGCTAGCTTTGATCTAAATTCAGTGCCTGTAGAAAGAATTCAGTGGTTGGTGATGATTTTAACAGTGGCTTGGGGGAATAAACAGCTGCCCACCCGAGCTTTCCCACCACCGCTCCATCCCTGCCTCTGCCCCAGCCACCTTCTCCCAGCTACTTCCCTCATGTACTTCATCATGGCTGCTGGTGATACCACCTCCATACTTCTCCTCAACTGTTGTGGTTCATACTTCTCCTTGGAGAAGGGTGTGCTTAGTTTGGGAGACTCTGCCCTAAGCCAGAGCGTTACTGTCCTGCCAGAAGGGGAATGTAGGGTGCCATAAGTGTTTGCAGGGCTGAGGTCAAGAAATGTTGTTTCACTGTCTTTTAGAAGCAAATACAAGAAGTATCCCATCCTCTCTATATATCTTTCAGTCTTGAAGAAAACAGAAACTGTTCCAATTTGAAGCTAAAAAAAAGGAATACCTTACCACCTAAAAATAAAAGTTACAAAAATATTTCTTTACCAGCAACTGGCTTTTTTTTTTTTTTTTAAACTAAGAAATTAGTCTGGGATTTAATGAAAATACGAATTTTACAAACATGCAATTTTCCATATGCTTTCCTACTTCTGTTCTCGTGCAGATTTTGTAAGTTGTAATACCCATTTACCAGGTTTGTAAATTGGTAGAGTATGATACAGATGATTATTTAGGTTAGTCTGATTTCTTTTGCAGACAAGATGGAATGGCCTCTGAGCCAGAAAACTACAAACTTAAAAACTGAACAGAAGACTTTTAGACGTTCGCAGATTATTTTGCATATGGGATACACATGCTGTTTTGTGATAAAACACAGAGAAGCCCTGATAGCCATTGGACAGTCTGATAGTAATTTAGCAATACAATTTTTGTTCCTTCTCTTGGGAGCCAATCCAGTACGTAACTCACAGACTATGTTCAGTTTATTGTATCACGTAATGATCACATAACAGAGTAAGCTACGACAGTCACTCAGTTAGCGAGGCAATTCCACCACGGTTGTCGCAGCTACTCAAAGGGAACCGCTGATCTGTGTGTGAGAAGGGAGAACTGTCTCCAGAGTCATCCGAAGACAAAAAACTATGCTCTACTGAATTACCAAAAATCTTGGGCTACAAAGTCTTGATCCAGTGCAAGGTATCAGCACTGCCTGTTCTGTGACACCACTGACGGAGGAAAAGCCTTAAAACTTAACATCTGCATTATTTTTAGGTACAGTAGCTACCCAGTGTTGACGCCTCAGTCAGTAGCACCTGATGACTGAACTTTGCAAAAGCCACTAGCCATTTGAAGTGTCTTGGCTTAGGGTCTCCGGCTTGAATCATACTGATAGGGCCTGTTCTCAGAAATGCTGGGAGAAAACTGTCCTCTTCCAAGTAGGGGAAAACAAGTAGGTATAAACTGGTAAGATCTGCGCTACAGCGTGGAGTTACCTGTGCTACATTTAAATAAGCTGGCACGGATGCTCGCAACAGTCTATTGCAGCACGAAGCTCAGCGTGGGGATGGAAATTCTCTGTTTCTCATTTGTGCTGAGCTCTGTGCTTTCACAGCTAGACAGCTGCTGCTCTCTGAGCTAGCCTGGGTATCGTGACACTGACTTGCAGGCGGTAGCGTAGACACAGCCTCAGAACCCAAAAGGAAAGGAGTACGCAGTTAGGGTTTTACTAAATTAAATTAAAATTGATCAGAGCATTTCAGTTCCAGGGACCAAAATATAAATAGTGAAGGAAAAAAGTGATGTGTGTGCCCATGTAACATCAGATTTCTAACTTACCAGCAGAAAAGCCCACAGCCAATACGATGACCACAGCTAAGCACCACAGTGGAGTGTCATTCGTGTGAAACGATTTCCAACTGGTATATTAAAATTATTTAATCTGTTTTTTTTAATTACATTCATTGCACAGAAACAAATTATTTGTTCATTATTCTTTACAGTCTTGTCCCATCAAGAGTATTTCCTAAGAAATACATCTTTCTTCTTTAGAAGTTTGATACTCTTTAATGTTTTTCTGACTCTGCGATTAGATTTCTAGAAGTGTATAGCTATTCTAGGTGAATGCAGCTTAAGCCAGCATCTAATTTTTGGAAACTATTGGAAAAAGAGCCTTAACTTGAGAAAAGTTGTGCATTAAAAAACTAAGGGACATAAAGTCACTAGTCACTCTAGGAAAACTTGGCTGATGCCATTATAGAAGTGGCCAGGAACTACATAAGTTACATTCTTTACTTACAATGATATACAGCTGCCCTGTAACTTTAAAAAGCCTTTCCAAAAATACATTCCACAGAATTGCCCGAGTCTACTGCTGCTCTCTCCTTACAAGGTTTAAAACTGTGAAGAATAATCTGCATATCCAGATGTTTTCTGTTTTGCCTAGATCTTTATGTTTCACTGTACAACCTCTGCCAAGAAAGGGATCCATACTTGCTGTGGTTTGTAGTGCTGAAAACTGTAACCACTAGTTGGTCAGGGTTTTTTTTTTTCTTTTTGCAAAGACAGAAGACTTGTACTTTCTCTAACCTATCTCATGCTGTTCATAGCCGTTTTACCTGTTAGCCTTTTAAAGTAAGTAACACAGAAGATTTACTAAACAATTAAGGAACAAAAAATTGGATCTGAGCTTCTGAATTTGTTAGGTACTTTTGAAAATCTCTCTGAATCCTTGAACATTGCAAACAACTTACTTTCATTCCCTTACTCTCCATCTTTTAGTGGTATAAATCCTGGTAATTTTAGTGTTGCCAGCCGTGCCCCTTACAGTTGAAGATAGCTGAATCCTCTCTGATCGCTTTTAAAAGACACAGTTTTTACATTACATCCAGCTGCGTTATGGTAGCCGAGACAACTCTGCATTTTATCAAGGCTCTTATCACTGATGATTTTCTTAAAGCTGCAAAGCCTGGAGTCACGGCACAACTTGAAAATTCAGCAAAACAAACAAAAACCACGCTACAGAAAGAAGTTTGCAGCTCTTTCAGAGCCAGAAAGGCTTAAAGATGCTATTCAAATGCACACTAAGCTACAAAACAGAATAAGTATAATACCCATCCCCCCATTTGTGTATTTAAATCTCATCATGTTAACCCCGTGCTTTCTGAATAGCTGGTTCATAATTTTGAGTATTTGGAATTAACAGTATTGCTCTGATTTTTTCACCTCTTACAGCACAACTATTTTTAAAATGAGGCACTGCAATGTCTCACCTATCGCTTCCGTACACCAAACTGTGGGACTTCCATTTTTATTCTTCCTTCCTTTGCTGCAGTACTCATGTTTTTACGCTCATTTACACCCCACCCCACCCCCCTTTCCTCGTAAGATAATTCTCTTTTTATCCCGTGAATACTGGAACAAGATGTGTAAACTCTTCAAGAAGCAAAGGCCAGAACCCGGGACTGGGAGCTGAGTGCCCCCAACACCGGACTGCAGATACGTTATCTTTCTTGTGTGCTCCGTCTCTCCCTCTATTACTTGTCCCTCACGGCTGCGGCATAGCCCGGGCGGTGCGTAGGGTACTTTCCCACACGTTACATCCACGTCACCCACGGCGTGGGCGAGCGCTCCATCCCCAAGATTACTGTCTGCTCATACTCCTCTTCAGAAACGCATGATTTAGATGCCAGCGCACACGGAGAGAGTGTCTGGCTATGAATCCCACTTCACCAGAGGAGTCTCGCTTAGTAAGACTCAAAAAAGATAGTTTCAGACCTGTTCCAAAGTTAACTCTCTCGTGTTTGACCTAGATCCTCCCGCGCACCGCATCTCCAGTAGATGCAGAATTAGGTGCTCACTTCTGAATTCTTGTAATATCGGGCGCCTCGTTCTCAGGCGTTACAGCACTGCCCATCAAAACGCCAAGTTCCTCAGCAGTAAGCCCGAGGTGTCTCATCATATCACCACATTTGAAACTGTTAGCCACAGTATTTTGAAACACAGTGACTTCAGCTCTGAGACAGGCATATTTTCTGTCTACATTATGCTTTATTTCAACTAAGTATTTTAAAGTGACTCAGTAAAAATGAGGCATGAGCATGACCACAGAGAATTACGAAATCAGTAAAAGGTTCAGAACAATTCTGAAGGGATTTCAGTTGCCTACCAAAATAAAAGCCAGACACCATCTGAAATACAAAGTTCTGACTGAGGTAACAGACCAAACGAGTGCAGACAGTTGATTCAGCCGACTTTGAAAAGTGGATTGGGCCTTATGAAGTCGATGGGAATTTCCCTATTGATTGCAATTGAGACTGGATTGGATCCTGCTCATTTTAGGAGGTTGCTCCATGGACCGGAAACGACAAAAATTGCATCAGAGAATGAGTGGCTTACAGGAAAAATAATAATAAAAATAAAACACCAACAGGAAATAAAGAATGAACATAAAATTGAGTCAATATGAAGGGTGGCACCACACAGACACACTGAAGAAAGTGTTTCTGTTCAAGAGGAGACGTGAGCATGTTTAAACTCAAACACACATGTAAGTACTTGCTTGAAATACGACCTAAACCTCTGCTAACCCAGCAGTACACCAGATTCATTTAACATAAAATGCACATATGAAAAATTACCACAGCCTACTGAGAATGAGCTGTCATTTTCCCGTATGTTATTCACGTGATGCCATCGCTCCCTCCAACACGTTCTAGGACTGGAAATCTCTCCGTGCATGGGTATTGGAAACATACCAAAAGTGTTTGTTTGCAAAGCAGATTAGATCTCTCATGAGAATAAGACTTCAAATGAGTTTTCTGAATCATCCTGTTCTGAGTAGGTTAGAAAAGCCCCAAATAAATTTATTACACGGTATTTTCCTACTTTTTCTGAATCTTAAGTAAAGATCAGGAACACAGGTAAGCAAACTAATGAAAATAACTCTACTAAATTCTAACAAGATGGTGTCTGAATCTTGCCGAGTAATAGCGTGGGATTTGCTGTAGGACATCTCTAGCAGGCCAGTATCTTGAGGCTGGGAATGGTTTGTATTTTGGATGTCATTTATTTGTCATTGTTCTTTCTATTCACCCTCCTTATTAAGAGCATTTTTTTCTTTCGGGACTAAATTCTTACTTTACCTCTACTGCTGTAAATCTGTTAAGTTCCCGAGGTTCCTCTGAAGAGAGGTACCTCACTCTGTCCATTCAGCATAGACAGATGTTGGAGTGCAACGACTCTCTACGACTTTTTAAGGGTTTCTGAACTCTCCTTTTCTTGCCTGGCACACTCAGCAGTCCCGCAGAAGCCTGTGAATCTTCAGCATGTTTTAGATCTGTCCTGGAAGAATAGAGCTATTTGTCTTTGCCACATTAGAAAATGGCTTGCATGCCTACATCCTGTGCAATTAGTTTATGAACCCTCTTTTGTTATTTTTGTCATGTATTTCTGTTTTCACTTCTGGTGTCTTATGAATGTTGCTAACACAATTCCTTTCTTCTCCCGCTTTCTTCATCTCAGCTGTGCTCTGATCCTTAAAACAGCTGATGCTGAAGCATTATAAAAGAGGGTGACTTTTGGGATTGACAGAAATCACTATATTGCAGTTTAAAGCGTCAGCATTTTTTTGGTCCAAAACGTTAACTACAAATTGCTGTAATGTCACATACAACGGAGTGAACCTCACTAAAAATCAGATGACATAGATGTGTTTTGAGTAACGTATCCACTGGTCTTCCATAGGAATTTTGTATGTGACAAATTACCCCTTTTCGGTTTATTTTACATGGTTTTTTTTCTGTTACTTTGTTTCAGGCAATTTGGGGCCATCGGGTCACGTCTGACTGGAGCTGGATGGGGTGGCTGCACTGTGTCAATGGTGCCTACTGACAAACTGAATACTTTCCTAAAAAACGTAAGAAAAGCTTATTACCAAACCGATGTCCAAAGGTTAGCACTGGAGAAGAACAGTCTGTTTGCTACCAAACCTGGAAGAGGAGCTTTGGTTTTTGTCGAGGCCTAAAGAACGTAAAAATTTTAAAGAAACTATGTAGGGCGTTTAGAACTGGCAGTACTTCCCATGCCACAGTAAATGCCTTTGCTGGTTGTTACTGTAATGAGCAGCTGCTATTATCAAAATACATTTCTGAAGAAGTGATTGAAAGAAAACTCTCTGAAAAAATCTCTTTTTTTTATACTATAAATATCTTTTAGTGTAAACTTTGATTTACAAAACCTATTGACAAGGAAAACTGAAATTGAAATAAAGATGATACTTCGTTACAGTGGATCTCTCTTCTTTTCCGTTTACTGTCAGGAAAACGTTCCTTCTAGCTATGTTTCTGATGTATCCTTGCGCAAGGGTGACTTCTTGTGAAAGGTTCAGTGAAAATGAATGCTATCTGTGAGCCGTACAATATGACAACATACTCCCCGAGGTGAGTGAACAAATAATGAAGCAAAGTTTGGGTTTGAGTTATCCAAACCCCATATCCTCGTTGCTGAATGCTAGCTGGGCTTCTACAAGGTAGAGCATTTGCATTTTTATGCAAACCCATTACAAAGGATTAAGTGTAACCCACTGACCATGTAAAAAAGCAGTGAAAATCTACGCGGAATAATTCAGGAGATAATTCACTCAGTTGTACTAAGCAAAAGCAAATAGGTAAGACCGAGAGTAAATGTCATTGACACGTTGTCGACAAGCTCCTGTCTCGCTCCCACTTCACACTCCTGACAGTCCCAAGGTTGTAACTGCAGTGCGTTGGAAGTACAGCATCCGCAACCCATCTCCTCAGCAGGAGAAGTGATTGTGATTGCAGAAAGAGGTGCCTGCACATCCAGATACCCCAAAGGTGTCCTAACCCTGCTTCCACGTGGAAAATTAGGTTCCTGTGCCCTCCCTCGCAGCACACAAGCTTCCGCTTCTCTCTTTCACCTACAGTGAAAACTCGAGAGAAGTTTTGCTGGTGCCGTAACCCTTGCAGCCTTAAAAGACAAAGCAAGATTTGTCCCTGTGCACGTTTTTGTGATGCTGAGCACAAGTTAACGTCCAGAAGTCTGCATCAAATTAGAGACCTCTCGGAGAGCTCCTCTGTACATTACCCATGCTCATTCAGGCCAAACCCAAATTCTTAGAGGCTACTAATTCTGTGAGAGGACTCTGCCAAATTTGAACAAGCGGATGAACTACAGCCAACGCAAACTGCCAGATCTTTTCAGGAACCTCAGAGGGGATGTATAACGGTAACAGTATCGCTAGAGAAGTTTTCTGTTTTCTGACAACCAGGAAAAGCGGAACAGAGAGTGCTGTAGATCAAGCAAGTCAAGTACTCGAGAGAGGAAAAGGGTGGGGTCTGGCATGACGGGGAGAGATGAAAAGACGGGATTTGGAGGGACGACAGTTAAAAGGATGCACTTGAGAAGGGGAAAGCAAGGGGTAAGGCAGACGGATGAGAACAAGAGGCAGAATTATAGAAAGGTTTAATCTCAAACCAGTCACTGTTACTCTCTATGGAAACTGAAGATCTTGTAACCAGTTTGTAATGTGCAGCAGACACGCTGTAGGTTCGACTACACCTGTAAACGTAGGACTCCAAAAATCAAACAACAGTAGGTCAGTATCTTCAAGAATCTCTGAGATACCCTTGGAGATTTTACAGAAAACAATGCCGTGGCTCTGTTACCAACTGCCTTATTAAATATAATCCTCAGTTTAATTCAGCGAGTCCCTGTTTATTATCCTGTCATAAAAATGGAGTACAAGACGGTACATACCAATCCTTGCATTAATGTATTTGCATTGAACTTTAGTTCGGCTGGATTCATGGAGGCACTAATCAGCATATGAGCAGAATAAAGGTATGTTAGGTTTGTTTGGGTTTTTTTATTCTTCTTCTTTTTAAGTTGAGCATGACACACAGAGTCATGGAATCTTCCCAAAAACATGCGGGCCGCAGTACATTTCAAAATTTTTCTGTCAATGAATCTTATAAACGATATTCTCATAAAAAAAGAAAACAGAAACCTGGCACGGTATAAGAGAATAAAACCGAACGTTCTAAACTCCTGATTAATTCTTTCCTTTCCTTCTTTATTGCTTCAATGTCTTTCCAATACTTTTGCTGAAATCTGCAAATAAAATCGGGACATAACGTTCATTGAAAGACCTACGGTACTCAAGCTTATATACATAAAAATGGCACTCGGGCATTTTCATTTACGGACTACCAACAGGAAGTAAATGTTTCTTTTTAAACAAAAAACATTGAATTAATCTGTGTTTGGGGGTTTGGGGTTTGCTTTTTAAACCTTTGAAGACATTTTTCTACATAATGGTAAAACCCCCGAAAATCAGAGCATGAGAATGATACACCAACAATGTGTAAGGTAGGCAGCAAGGATGATAGTATTTCTAATCATAAAGCAAGAAGATTTTGGGTTGGATGAAAATTTCTGCGTATAAAGCAGCAACTCCTGAGCGTATTTCCTAAGCAAGTCTTTCCAGATCTGTATTTTTAATAGCTTTTTCTGACTATGTTTTCAAAATCTATTCTGTAGCTAAAATAATGCTAATCGGTATATGCACACACACATATATGTATTTTTGGAAAATTAAGAAAATTAAATGTCAGAATACGTGCAGAAGTGATGCGTCCTGTTGGCACGAGCTATGATTATCAGTGGAGCGTGATTTTCTCTCGTTACACTGTCTGACTGTAATTCATTCAATCAGGAGTTCAGTCTCGCTGTGCAGTAAATGGGTTCTAAACCTTTCCAAAAAGGATTTGGAATGGAGACGCTGTTGGACATCTCAGTGCAGCAACGTTGCCTGGTGCCATATTAATACTCCGTATTATCTTAATCCCGTTGACACGTACGTCTCCATCACTGCATTTGCTGGCTGTGTATCTCGTATGCAGGAACACGCTCGTGCTCCGAAATAGAACGAGAGTAATTTTACCATTCACTGGGTGGGAAGGGACCGTGACTGTCTATTTGACATTTGCTCTCTCGGGCACAGCACGCATACACGCACCGACATGTATGTATGGCAACCTAATATATAGTAATGACTTACATAACGTCTTTGGGAATATCGGTTTCTAGTTAATATGATCTGAATGCCAGCTTTTATTTTAGTAACTGCTGTGTACTTACTCAGTATAATCCTTCCGAAATTCCTCTCCGAGTCCACGTGTCTCTTTAATAACATCTTGATACGTTGGAGCAACTGCAGCGCTACGGTTTCAGTCAAGTGAAAGATTTGTATTTCCAGCTAACTACCAAGTTTATTTGTGCGCTAAATCCCAGTCAGATATAGTTAAACAAAGATACCCCCAGAACAACGTTCACAAGAGCTATCCTGTTCTAAAAAAAGATGCTTTGCAAATCGTAGCTGTTACAGGCAGGACTGAAGTACTGCTTTCCGATTCTTGCCATTATATGCTTCATCAAGCAAAATGAACTCTGGAAAAGGACTTACACTGCAAAGTAGCAACAGCACGAAAAGCAGACTGGTAAGGCCTAGCGTCACGAAACCTGTAAATCGCGCAGCTTATTAAATAACATTTTAAATGCTAATTTTGAGATGGAAGGCTAGGTATTGATAAGAGACTAGGTCACAATGCAGAAAGGAGCACAACGGGGAATGTAAACCTGTAACTGGAAATTACTCCCTGTGATACAGCCGCCTTTGACAGATTTTCCCGGCGTACACAGGATTGGCAGAGGAAGCGCTGCCAAGCAATATTGCTGTCGCATCTGTCCTACCTCAGCTGTTCTAGTTTAGCCAGCTTTTTCACTGAACGCTCTTCTGAGCTTCAATATCCCATACAATAGAGACAAAAGATGAATCCTGTTCTTGATCTTATCTCTTATACTCTGCCCTCTGCTTTTGGACTTGTATCAAAAGTCATTAGCTACGAGATTCCGTGAGATGCCACATCACAGCCTCCGATAACAGCGCCGGGTTTACTAGGAGACAATCTGCCACGGTGCTGCCGGCGGATAGTCCCTAACCCGCTCTGTAATCTCTCCTACTTCAGTGGGACTGCAGCACTCAAAGGTAGTAGGACCAAGCTGTAATTGATATGTTGGGAACTGCTGTTTTCTGGGCAGATTTTTTCTTCCCCTCAGGTCAGCTACGATTGTTTTACCAGTAAAACCTGCAGATGAACATTTTCTGGAGCCCCTGAAGTCTCTGCAGATTTGGTCGCCGAGTTCAGCAGAACGTGGGTTTACCCCGGCCCACGCTCCCTGGCGAACGCTTCACTCGGCAGGGGAACACGTAGTGAGAGTTTGCACATAAAACAGACGTGCCCAAAATCTCACATGTAATTAAGGCACTCATGCCAAATTCATCATACGCGTAAGACTTATGAATGGAAAACCTGCAGAGGAGTAAAAAATGTTGAAGCTAATCGGATGAGAAGACACTAAGGAGCTTTCAGAATTAATTGACCAATAAAATGTTTGAGATTGATTTCCACTAGCAGTGGTTCCTGCAGAAGCAACCAACTGGAGGAGGATTTCTACAAAAGCATTTGGTATATTTATTGGATTTTAAGTCTAATGCATTTTGAGAATTGCTGTTGTCTCCTAAGCACTACTTTGTTGGCCAAAATTACACATTAATGCTAAAAGGGGGGGGGGGGGGGGGAGTCCTCTCCCCACAAAAGCATGCCTTTCTGCACTTGGCACACGAGGCTCAAATAACTCAATAAAGATTAGATGTACTTCAAACTGAAACACACTAGTGCCCAAGCAGCTGTCTTCTTTCCAGCCAAGCTGTGTGTTATTTGGGATGGGAATAAAAATACGTTCTATTAGCCAATGATCAAGCCAGATGTGTGGGTTTGTTTCCTTTTTTTAAAATCCAAATTAATTTTTCAAGGGACACCGAAGCAGGTTTGTATGAAACTCTTACAGCAGTTCCTGAGGATTATTATTAAAGGCCTTATTTTTTGCCAAATTCCATATAATGGAGGGTTTTATTCATGTTGTTCTACATTTTCTGGTTTCTTATCTGTCCCTCGTGTGACAAACGCATATATTTATTTTTGTTGGCTAAGCTGTTCGAGCGGGATTTTTTAGTTCTGTTTCTATTGATCAATTATTAACAGAATGAAATTGTTCTGATTAAAGGCTGAAGACTTTTCTACTGGCTTTCTCCCAGTGAACATCCTTTCTTGTAACTGCCTCCTTCCTGTCCAGGCTTCTGTCGAGAGAAGAATTAAGACAAGACGACCCTATCCTTGAGGAAGAATTCAGTGAGCCACTTTTAAGCAACAATAGCAGCTGCACGAATAATAATTTTTTTATGAAGGTCTGAACCTAATTTTATGTTAGAAACATAAAGTTCCAACTTTCATAGTTGAATTAAAAAGTCTAACAGAAAACAGGAGCTAAAATCAGAACCAAAAGAGTCTAGCAAGGATTTACAGAACTTCTGTCAGATTAAGTTAAAGCTCCACAGTTGAATCATAAACTTAATCGGAGCCAAATACTAACTATGAATGGAAAGATTTGGGGACAAAGGGTTAAAGATCAACGAAAAAATGCCTATTGTGCTGTTTTTCAAGTTAGCTATGGTCAGGCCTTGACCCTAAGAACATATCCAGTGAAATTCCTGTGCAATTCTTTCTACAGCAAATCCAACTGTATCAGCAGCAGAACAGATGATGAGCTTTCAAAAGCCTTGATTATTTTTTTCTTCTTTTTTCTTTTTTTCCTTTTTTTCTTTTCAGAAGACCATTTGAGAGAGTGAGGGGAGGCCTGGACAGCTTTTCTTTCTGCAGATCTATAACCTGATGGTGGCCAATGGGGAGGGAGGGGGACACTATTGCAAATGATTTTCAATACTTCCTCTAGAGGGAACAGGACGGCTAGTGTAAGCTGCTTCAAGAGACTTACGAGGACTTACAGGCCTCTCGCTGATGTTGTTGAAAAACTCCAAAATTTATTGTCTTGTCTGAAATTCATAAAATATTTAACTTTCTTGATTATGAGATTTCCGGGTTTTGCCACCACAAAGCTGATTTTGGGTAAAACAAATTAAATGGTTAAATGAATAAAATTCTATCGACAGAAAAAGAAGGTAATGATTTGTGGGATTTCTTAGTATTATACTAAACCAACAGCCTCTTGCACACAACCTGCTCTTGCTGACCTTCTTTCTCCCCGTCTTAGCTGTGCTCATTCAGCAAGAACAATCTGGTCGGATCCTCTGAAAGTGGGGGCACAACCATGCCAAGAAACGCACATCAACTGCTACAGCACACCTGAGTTCGGGGCACTGAGATGTTGGCGCACATTTTCTACTCCTCTTCCGTCACTAAGAAAATGGCAGAGACCTTGTAAGCTCGTGCGAGCGAGCCTAAGGGGTTGGGCTAACAGAGTCTGAATCTCAACTATCTGCTTTAGCTCCGCTAATGAGATTTATTTTATTTCTATGTAGGTGGTCTCTTATTTCTTAAATGCAATTAGCATGCAGTTGTTGCCTGATGGTTTTATTTATTTTTGAAAGTGCCGACTATTGGCCTTGCTTTCATAGTTCTAGAGTTTCCAGAATTGACTTTTGTGCTCCACAAGCCTATTTTCAGGAAATATTTTGTAAGAGGGATGATATTTTGAACTCTACTTTTATGGCTGCGAAGGCTTCTCCTTTTTTACTTCCTTTGTCTGTTCATTAGGGGCCATCTTCAATTCCTAGATGTGTTTTTGGAGATAAGTTCCTTTCCTATGAAATACATACCATTAACACAAAACATTAAAAATACTTTAAGTCTTTAGACAAAGTTGTGTGTTTATTTTATGAGATTCTATGCTGTGTAATGTTCCGAGTGGTGCACCGAAATGTGCACATTTGTCCATTTTTAGGTTTTCTCCGGACATTTCCTGACGTGTTCATTAGCTGCCTTTTGCTCATTACATAAACGCATGAAAAACCACCCGTCTTCCTCTGTTTTAGCTGTAAAATGAATAGAAGGTTTTAGGCTTTTAATCAAACTATGAAAGATTTCAACATCCTGGTTTTTTGCGGGTGACATAGATGAGTGCTATGTAGTGTTTCCAACTTTTAATTTTTATTACAGTCTTGCCTTCTGTGATTCATGAATTTATAATTCATACTCTCAGAAAACGGAACATTTTTGAAAATCAACATCATGCATATTGCAAATTACAATAAACATGTCAGCAGAAGTGGATATACTAACAGTTGATGGTGGCTAATTTGCTAATTTATTCTTTTTATATAAATGGACAAATTACGACTGCCCATTGTGGTCACATTAAAGGGAGAATGGTGTGGAAATTTCTGTTTTCAATAAACCCATAAAGAAATGGACACAACTTATTTTTAGAGAGAGTTCTGCTCATAATGTGAACAGTCACCTAAAATCTGCTGAGAAAAACATAAATCGGTTTCACAAGAAGTCTAAAATTTTCTTTTTATCCCATCAGTCAGCCTAATTACAAGGAAAAATTGTAAAACTTGTTAAGTTCATAAAGACAATATGACCAATATAAAAATACCACACTGAAAGTTGGGGGAAAAAAAGGGAGTTTTCTCCACTCCTCTATATGATGTTGCGAAATTTGTTGAAGCCAGTGAAGTTAATTTAAACTTCTGGAACACAGAATCTGACACCTAAATACACTGAATAATAGTTGCCCTGTCGTAACAAAAGCTGCCCAGATTGACAGTATTCTTTATCGGCAAGCTGTGACTTCCCTACGCTGAATACACTGAAAAGCGGCGGCAAACTAGTTTTTCTTTGATGTGTGCAAACACTTCAATATACAGAAGATCAAAATTCCAAGAATTCCCATGAGAAAACGTTTCAGGGGAACTCAAGTAAGTCTTCAGTAAATCCTCCAAAAACCGTCCAGTTAGAACAATTTTATGTAGGTCCGGAAAAGAACAGAATTAATTAGAAAATCTTTGCTTCTGAAACCCCTTTGTTTGAGAGATAAACACAAAGGGCTCTGAGCATCTGTACTACACAACAGACAAATCCTCTCTGCGTTCGGAAAGGTAGGTGCCAGACAGAAATATGTCCAAAAATCAGAAAATACTCTAAACTTCCTCAAGATTTATAGATGTTTGGATCCAAAGAGTATAGTTCAGGGCCACAATAGAACCAAGTCAATATACAAAGCCAGAATCCAGATACGATAGGAGTTTCATTACATTTTGTGGGGTTTGACGTACGTTTCTCATTCAGCCTTATTCCCCAAAAATCAAACAGAAGTAAAATAAAGTAACCAAGCTGAAGCGCAGTCTTACTTAAGACACTTTAAATCATGCGTTAGGTTAAGGGACAACAAGATGAAGGACCAATCAAATGTTTTTTCTGTATTTCTAAGCTTCTCTCTTTTAGGCAAACCACTTGCTGAGATTGTCTGCATTACTGTGGTCTGCCTCAGCCTAGAAAAGAGAAAACTGTCCCAGCTATTGCGGATCATAGCAGAAAAAGGAAACAAAATAAATGGGTGAGATTTTAGTAATGCATTCTCCTCCTCCCTGCCCCAGCTGGTTTAAACCATCTTGGCAAAAAGTTTTGAAGAAAGGTTTTTAAATACCACACAGGTTGGGAGTCAAGGATATGGTTGGCTGTAAGCTTCAGTACAATTAGTCCTGCAAGTCAAGGAACACGACGCAGCATTATCTATTTCATGTGTCTTAAGACAGCAGGAGACCAAAGGACTTTGGCCACCGAAGTCGGAAGAGCACGCGCTTGCATTCTGGATCTGAACCGATACAAGAGGACTGTAAAAATGGGAGAGATGTCAGTACAGGACATTATCAAACTAACTGTCTGAGAATAAGAACAGACTAGGAACTTCTACATACATACTAAAAAAAGATTTATGCTGAGAAGTTTTTTTTTTAACTAAGATTTTTTTTTCACCAAAACAAAGTACTGTACTACACAATGGTGATACCAGTACAAGGAGGCATCAGAATTTCTGACAAAGACTGATGGCAATGATCTAATGTTATGGGAGACTCTTCTCCATTTCAAGCAGGAAAACTGCAGGCTACAATAGGCATAAGACCAAGTACTTGGCATGGAATATAAACACCTGCAAGTAAGCTTGAGTTATTTTAAAATCAATGCAGTATTTTATGCACAGTAATTAAAAAAAAAAAAAAAAAAAAAATAAGGGGGGGGGAAAAATAAG